AAACAAGAAAGGTCGTCAAGTGGCGGTCTCGTACCGATAGGCACAGTGTAGGGTGCCCCCTCCCCTCCCCCCACTAGATGAAGTGACGACCTGGTAAGACATACAGGAAGTCGATAGATGCAGGTAGCTCTGGACCGTGCTTTGTGGCATACCTTGGGCCTCCCCCAAGTTATGCACTAGTTATGCCTATGTTCAGCAGTGGACTTGTGAAGGGCTGTAATTATGATGATGATAAAGTGTTACATTCGGTATTAACTTATAATATAATGTGACTTACAACTTGTTAAGTTTTCAAACTTTTTCAACTTTGTTAACACTTTTATCATGAAAAGGTTTTAGAAAGGAAAAGGAATATAAAAGGTCTGTGCCTAAAATGAGTTACATACTGAATATAGTTGTTACTAATAAGAATTAAACAATTAATCAAAATTATAAATAAATACTTTTTTCAGTTGCGTAATAATAAAATAAATAATTCATGACTACAAGCGTAAAATAGCAGCATAATGCTGTTTTGTTTCATGTTGTCTAAAGCTGGAGATACTTCTTGCTATCTATATTATCCATGTGCGTATTCACTCTTAATCGAGAACAGATTGATGTAGGAGTCTATGGGTCACAGCATCCCCTTACTACCAGGTGGATGGTTTCCCTTAATTGCAAGAATTTCTACTTTATCTGATCCACTCCACTTCTTCACATACATACTATAATTTACTTAAGTATTTATTTATTTGAAGGTTAAAATGGACGGAATTAAGCTTGCATTTTGATATTTACTATTAGCCAACCCCATAAGAAATAGAGAAATAAATGTTGCCTAATCGGCTCGACCGGGGTAGCAACACGCTCTCACAGAATACCGGCGTAAAAAAGCAGTTCATGTGTTGATGTGTTTCGTATGGTGAGTTCAGAGAACTGGAGACTCCTTTTACTTAAAACGATGAATTCTATCTTAGTCCTCTGCGAAGACAACGCATCTGCATTTTGATTCTTAATTGAGGATAGATGTAAATGTCTATGGCAAAGCATCTACTTAATTTCATGTGGACTGTGTGCCCGCATGTTACCCTAAACTATAAAATATATAATGAAATGAGCAAAATTTGATGTTATGTTACTTAGTGAGTACATTGTAAGAAAACTTCATATTACGAAAAGCGATTAACTGAAATCCGTATGAGGAAAGGCAAGGCAAAATACTTTTTAAGTCATTGCAATAAGATATAAATCAGCACATCAAACCGTATGGCACCTATCCTATGTTTATGCTCATTATAAAAGGAATTAAAATTAAACCTTGAGCATTTGATTGGCTTTACAACGAGCAAAATTAAATCCCCTACACGGCCGTTTTACTGTAATAGGAATTGTGCTGTTTTTCAGCTATACAATGTCTTTTTTATAGATTAAGAGTTAAATTATGTATTAACGTAATTCAAACAATGTACAGTGTTTGAATTACGGTTGTGTAACTTTTTTTCTTCTACTCTATGGTTTTCTCTAGTATTTGAGGGCGTTTATATACATAAATAGCACACCAGACCCAGAACAATCATTTGTATTCCTTACAATAACTTTTTCCATGCCGGATTGGAACCCGCAGCTCTGTAGGTATTTGATTGCACGGCCCTGCAGCGTTGCATTTGCAGTCAAGCGGTTCCTTTCACTGAGCCACTTACATGGGGAAAAGCCTACGCATACTCGTCCTGGAAGTAGTGATGGATCGCCAACAGGTATCCGGAATTTTGACGCGTGTACGTTCGTGAAATTTAGCGGCTGGAACTAATCCGGACAATTTCTCAGAGCACTCCCCGTGGTAGATACGATAGAAAACGGAAAGGGATGCAATATTACTACGCAACGCCAGTGAATCGAACCGATCGGAAAAAACTCGGTCGTCGACGATTCGAATCGGTCTGCGCTGGATACGGTCAAGTGAAAGGAGCTGGCACTGAGATGCTCCGACCCAGATATGAGAATAGTATTCCATGTGAAGCCGAACTTGCGCTTTGTAAAGGTGCAAGCGAAATGCCGGCATAAAATACTGTCTCGCTCTGCTGAGCACGCAAAGCTTTTTAGAGGCCAACTTGGTTTTTCCGTCCAAGTGACCACGAAGTTGCACCACACTATTCGATATGTCGACGCCGAGGATTCCGATGCTAGCTAAGACAGCAAGGGCAGTGCCTTCAAACTAAGGAGATACGACAAAGGGGTTTCTTTCAGCGGTTAACGCGCAATCTTGTGTCTTCTGGGGATTGAATTGGACTACATTTAGTCGCCCCCAATCCGCGACTTTGTTAAGCAAAGACTCGACTTCGGACATAAGTTTGTCCCGGTACTCGGCGATGATTTCCCGAGAAATATTGGCACGGCCGGTATAAAAGGCATCACCAGTGTTGTAAGTTCGTATAGCAATGAATGTTACCAGTTTGCAACATATCATTGATATGCAGAAGAAACAGCGTTGATGGTAGCACGTAGCCTTGTGGAACACCAGCGTTAATAGGCTTGTAATCAGAGCATGCACCGTCTACTACGACCTTGATGCTCCGATTAGCAAGAAAACTAGTGATCCAATCGCACAATTTCTCAGGAAACCCATAGGAAGGGAGCTTCGGAAGAAGCGCTTTGTGCCAGACCCGATCGAAGGCCTTCTCATACTAACGGCCAATGCCTCCCCCTTGGACTCTACTGCCTCCGCCCATCTATGACCAAAGCTGTCTTCCAAGAATTTGGAACTACGCCTTTGGAGTAGGAGTACCGGAAAAGACACGTTAAAACCGTTGCCAACTCCGGAGCACACGTCTTCAACACAATGGGAGGGATTCCATCAGGCCCGCTCTACTTGCTGAAATGCAGGGAGAGGAGTGCCTTGAGAACTGAGCGCTGTGTAGGCCGCACATCCGGCATGGAGCACTCACACCGCGGGATGGTCGGCGGTGTGTTCTCCTTTTTTTGTTGTTGGTTATGTCTCCTTTGCGGCATGGGCCAGTGAGATGGAACAGATGACTGACAGAAGTTCTCTTGGACAGCTTCGGCGAGAGACCAGAATGCGCGGGTTCCCGAAGGAAGCCGAACTAGCTTCTCGTCAATTCTAGTATTTTGATTGTAACAATGTTTATTGATATTGTCGATGGTCTAAATAAATAATAAGTAAATAAATAAATTCTGCCGATGTGCTCAGAGCCTCAGACCTTGCCGTGGCAATGACTCTTTTGAAGGACCTGGAGGCGGAATTATACTTTTTTTAAGAGCGCTGGTGTTTACATCCCGCAGACGTTGATGCACTCCTGCTTATAGCGTGATGCTATTTTACAGGAGCAGCCAAACGATGGCTGGAATCTACCTCCGATGGGCATCACAGATGACGGAATGAAAAGTTCCATACCCTGAAATACCACATCAGCGACAAAATCAGCAACAACGCAGTGATCGTTCGGCGAGAAGCAAGCCCGCCCCCAAGGGTAGGATGAAAAAAAAGACCGCATACCATCCCAATCAGCCGACCTATAGTGCCAAACACGGCCGCAGCATGCAGAATGCAATTAATGTGACTGGCACCACACTCCGGCAAGACAATGGTCCGACGAGCCTAGAGGAGCGTCAACGGAAATCTGATATTCGTTCGGGTGAGAGGTTAGCAGAATGTCCTACAGGGAAGGTGTATGATCTTCCACATCTGGAATCCGCGTAGGCTCAGTAACCAGTTGTGTCAGACCATATGCCAAAGCAAAGTTATAAACAGATCGCCCCGCATGATCGGTTAAACGTGAACCGAGCCATTCAGCGTGGTGGGCGTTAAAATCGCCAAGTATCACGATCTCTGCGGATGGGATCTGCTGTAGCACGGAAGCTGTAGCCATTTGGACGTGGTCGAAGAGTCGGTCTGTTTCGGCATTACCGCTGTGGGACCTATAGAGGTACCCGTAGACGCGCGGACGGAAGTCGCTGTCTACGCGGTACCGTAAGAAAGAAAGAATGAATAATTTTATATTCAATATAGATCACATGTGTGAAGTTCTCATTGAAAGCATTTTTTGACTTTAGCACTGGTTCGGAAATAACCTCTGCCTTAGGAGGAACCAGCAAAAAATTCAGCAGGACTTTTTTTAACTAAATTTTACAATATGAAAGGTACAAACTATTTACAACTTTTTTTAGAAACAGCTTGGAAGCGTCTACCTCATTCCCAGGAGTTATTATCAACCATGTATTCATTCATATTATAGTAATCCTTTTTATACAATTTTTGTATCATTTAAACTTGGTAATAGAGAGATCTTGTATATTTTCTAGGACTTTGTTGTAATAGCGTATACATTACTCAAAAATTGCTCGTGTTTGTTTCTAGTGTTTACAGAGTGTATATCACTTTATTACAAAACTTATTTTTGGTGAACATACATTGAATTTTTTAAATATACTGACAGGCCAAAGTTAATATAATTATTTCTTTAACTTTTTCTCTAAGAGACTCTCTCGTTTTTAGGTTGTAAATAGCTCTTATGACCCTCTTCTGCAAAAAAATAGTTTCTTTATCCGTAACACTCTCCTTCATCATCAATCCGTAAATGTCCACGGCTGGGCTTCTTCCGTTTCCCGTCGCTGGTAGAGGTTTTACGCTCCGAGTAAAACTATTGTTATACGTACTACACAAGCCTTTCTGCTATTTCCCATAATGGTCTCTTTCGACACACAGATCCTACTTTTTTCGGGTCTTAGCGGAGAAAAAACTTGATCTATATCCACATAGATCGGTCTGTTTAGGCGACACAAGTCCGAGAGTTCGCAAGTCCACTGCTGAACATAGGCCTCCGTCAAGGAATGCCACACAGCACGGCCATGAGCCACCTGCATCTACCGACTTCCTGCATGTCTTACCAGGTCGTCACTCCATCTAATGGGGGCTCGCCCTACACTTAAAAGTTAAACCGGTTACCAATAAAAAAAACATTTTGCATTAATTTTGCGTGTAATATTTGTCTATCAGATGTGAGATGCACCCAACATCGCGGCCTGGACGGCCGCTCTCTTGGACCACACGTCGGGAACTGGCAGAGCGTCTCCGGCACACAGCCAAGGGGCCGTTGCAGCCTCTGCAGCCCTTGCAATCCCTGCAGAATCTGCAGACGTTGCATGATCTGCACACACAGTCACTGAACGAGCTGCGCACTTTCCAGCGGTTACATTTTGACTGGCCACATGTGGACCGCCCCGATTTCATATTTTATACGCCAAAACAGATCCAACATCTCATAAGGTATCTTTTAATGTCCTTTGTGTTTTCATATATCATTTCATTACTGTTATTCAAAAGTTCATTGTAGAACTTTATGTTGTGTAGTCTCGATTCAAAGGTAAGGTCTACCACCGCTCAGATGGTTGGCGCTGGCTGTAAATTTCAGTTAGTATAACAGCTTAGTATAACAACATACACGACAAATTTAATATAATATTCTATCTTATTCTATTGCAAGCGAATTGCCCTTAGATGTATATGTTTGTCTCTTTTTAGTGGCGTTTTTTCGTTTTATAAAGTTTCAAACACAACGATTCTGAAGTTTTAGCTTCAAAATAAACACTGATACAGAAATGTTATTACCTACTCTATCCACGACTACTTGAGTGACAATCAGCTTTGTATAGAAAAGTTACCATTGTATTGTTAAATACTATGTAACAATGACCTCGATTATTCTTGTACAATGTTGTTATGAATAGATACCTCTTTATTTTGTCTAACGTTTGTGTTTTGCAGTGCTACTAACTGCAGCCAGTGAAATACTTGGCATAATTTGAAATAATAAATATTTTATTACAGATTGGAGAGTGCTCTGGGTCGAGCGCCAGCTATGGCCACGCTGCCACCAGCGTGGCATCGTCAACCGCCCGTCACTACGCAATCACCTTATGTAAGAATGAGATGACTACCGCTTTTAAATTTAAACACTTATTTCAATTTATTTAAAATGAATTTTGAATTATTTTATAATAATAGCCCAATGTGCAAGGTATTTGGAAGAGAAGGCCAAATTGGCCTCTAAAAAGCTATTTTTTTTTTATTAAAGCATCACCAACATTTGTATACATTGTTAAATTATAATTTACATACATACATAGATAGGGTATTACTTTAAATGCTACAAACTATTATAGGTGATTACAACATGCACTGGAATAAACATCAAGAATATTACATAGTTACAGAAAACCAAAACGTTAAAAAAATATAAAAACTTAATCTATTACATTTGCATAATGTTTGAGTAGTTCATTTCTGAGCTTGTTAGGTGAGTCGGAATTAATATCAAAAGCGTGGGGAAGTTCATTGACCAATTTACTTAGCCTAGAGATCGGGGGAGTTAGCGTCAAATACTGTTTTACGAAGAGGTGATCTAATAGTAATTACTCTCTTACGGGGGGTATCTATGAGGTACGCGAAATTTTATCTTATTCAACAATTGAGGGCAGTTAATTTTATTATTCAATAATTTGCTTACGAAGAGTAAGTCGGATATTTGTCTGCGATTAGCCAAGGACGTAATTTTGAAAAAAGATAGCTGTTTTTTATACGAAGAAAGTTTCTTTTTTTTGAAATTCGATTTGAGTATACTAAATGCCACATGAATCTTTTTTGTATTCGTTCTAAGCGTAAAGAATGCGTTGCATAATGTGGTCTCCAAACTACAGAACAGTATTCTAAGATACTTCGTACTAAATTGTTGTAGAGCGTTATTTTGATTTTATTGCTGCGGAAAAATTTAATATTTCTGTAAAGAAATCCTAACATTTTGGTGGCACGTTTTGTAATATATTCCATATGAGGCACGAATGTGAGTTTGCTGTCGAATATGACGCCTAAATCCTTGGTCTCTTGTAGTTCCTGTAAATTATTATTGCCTATATGATAACTGTAGTGAACTAGATTCATTTTCCGAGCAAATTTTACGTAGAAACATTTTTTTGCATTGAGTTCCATCTTATTCAAATTACACCAGTGAAAGATATTGTCAAGATCGCACTGGAGTTTACGTGCATCATCTGTCGTTTCAATTATTCTTCAAAATTTTAAGTCATCAGCATACATGTAAGATTCAGAAAATTTTAGGCACAAAGGCAGGTCATTAATATGAACATTAAACAGAAGTGGGCCCAGGTGAGATCCCTGTTGTACGCCAGATGTGATTTTACGCAAACTCGACTTAAAGCCATTGATGACCACATAAAAAGTACGGTCGGTTAGATAAGACCAGATCCATTGCATTAAACCATTACAGATTCCATATGCGGACAGTTTTTTTAGGAGTACACTATGTGAAATACGATCAAAAGCCTTACTAAAATCCGTGTATATGACGTCAACTTGTTTATTGGCATCAAGTGCTTCATAAAGAGTTTCAGTGAAGCTTACCAGATTAGAGTTTGTTGATCTACATTGAACAAACCCGTGTTGCTTATCACTAAGTAATTGCTTAAAATGATCTTGTAGAAATGGACATATCAAAGCTTCAAAAATTTTAGCAAATGATGACAGTATTGAAATGGGCCTGAAGTTTTTTACTGAATCTTCATTTCCCGATTTATGAATAGGAATAACCTTTGCAATTTTCCATTTAGCCGGGAACATGCCTGTTGAGAGTGATTTATTGTACTTTGATTTATTGTAGCTTGGCGTGCTCAGCAGAGCGGGCAGTATTTCACCACACCACACCGCCTGCAACTTTACAAGGCGCGGGTTCAACCACACATGGAATACTGTTCCCATCTCTGAGTTGGAGCTCCCCAGTACCAGCTCCTTCCACTTGACCGCATTCAGCGCAGAGCGGCTCGAATCGTCGACGACCGAGTGCTTTCCGATCGGCTCGATTCACTGCGAAGCGCGCTGCGAAGAGATGTTGCATCTCTTTGCATTTTCTTTCGCATATACCACGGAGAGTGCTCTGAGGAATTGTTCGAATTAATCCCAGCCGCCTAATTTTGTGAACGCACTACGCGGCAAACGTCCCGATACCATCCACACCATCTGGATGCTTGGCGGTCCACCACTGTATGTTTCACAAGGAGTTTTCTTCCGCGTACAACCTCTCTGTGGAACAGTTTACCACCGGCGATTTTTCTGGATCGATACGATCCGGGGACCTACAAGAAAAGAGCTTACTCCTTTCTATAGGGCCGACAACGCACCTGCAATTCTCCTGGTGTTGCGGTTGATCATGGGCGGCGGTAGTCACTTAACATCAGGTGAACCGCATGCTCGTTTGCCCTCTCTTCTAAAAAAAATTGCTAAATCTTCTAATTTCCAGTCCAGTATTTAGTAGTTCCAATATATAATAACTTGTACAGCAGGAGTCTGGTGGGGGCCAGTTGGGGAGCAACGAGTGGAACGCGTGGGGCGCGTGGGGTAACCTGGCCAGCGGGTGGGCGGCGGGTGCCGTGCTGCTGCTGGCCGCGCTGCTGTTGGTGCGGTACATCGACCGCTGCCTCGCCAGGAAGCTCCTCAACTGTGAGAGTTATTCTTTACATTTATTAATCAAGTATTTACACATATTTTATACTTCATTTGTTATTATACGTGGTACTTATCATACGTAGTAGAGCCACGCTTTAGCTATATTATGGTTGTAGCAATCGGCTCGACCGGAGAAGGACCACGCTCTCACAGAATACCAGCATAAAATAGCAGCTTAATGCTGCTGTGTTTCGTATGGTGAGTGTAGAGAACCGGAGACCCGTTTTACTGGTAACGAGGCATTCCATTTTAGTCGTCAAGGGTGACAACGCATCTGCATTTTGATTCTTAATCCGGGTTAAATGTAGATGTTTATGGGTCACAGCATCCACTTACCATCAAGTGGACTGTGTGCTCGTTTGTTTCCCTTATCCTATAAAAAACTATTAAACTAATGATGGTTTTTTCTTTGTAATATTAGAGCGAGAAACGATCACACAGTCCACCTGATGGTAAGTTATCCTCGATTAAGAATCCACATTCAGATGCGTTGTCACCCTTGAGGACTAAGATGGAATGTTTCCAGTAAAAATGGCCTCCGGCATATTATTAAAGTAACAGCATTCTATACTCATGATCCTCCGGTTTTTTGCACATTGCTCTGTTTCCACCGTAAAATAGCATTGAGTTGTTATTTTACGCTGGAGACACCACAGCATTGAGCTGCTATTTTACGCTGGTAATCGGTCAGTGCGCGGTTCTTCCCCGGTTAAGCCAACAAATTACCTCTACCACGTTAAATAACTTGTTAATTAATTTAAAAGTATTGAAAAATTTACATTTGAAGGTACCTCCTTTATTGTGTAAGCGGTAAGCACCCTCTCACATAGGACATTTTGAAATTGGACACCTCCGACAGGAGCGCTCACTGGTTTCGTTGAGGAACTGATTTCACCGTGTGGTGACACTAGACACTAGGTCCCGGGGTCACAATGTGTGCGTCGCGACGCCTTAGGGCATTATAGGGGTGCCTCCTCTAAAACTATTTTGTGATTATAGTCTTAAAACTTACTTGTATCGATTTGGTACAGTTAGATAACGGTCAAAATAAATATCCAACCATTCAAAAAACCCAACATAAACTACGAAAATAATAATAAAAGAAAATATCACTCAAAAATCAATGTGGGGTAAGAAATGAGTACCACTAATAACTAGCAGTAACAAGTCTTATTCCGCATTTTGATAAATATTGTGGAGATTAGCTAGCAACACGATTGACTAATTGGTCATTAAATTTTTTACCTATTATATTTTTTCCTGTCAATTATACAATGCTATTCTTTTGATTCTTGTCTTATATATATTGTATTAAGTGTTCCGTCACACATATTTTGACAAGGACGCCGTGACAAAATACTATATATAATATTTGAGTGCGCCGTGAGCTAAAAAAGTTTGGGAACCCCTGCATTAGACTATATTCTCATAAATAATTGTACAAAGTTGAAAAAATTATCCCGCTGGGTTTCTAGCTGGTTTTTCCTAGGATATAGATGTCCTCAGACACAGTGGAAAAATTGACTGTCAAGTATTATGTAATAATTTATATGGAATAAAAATTATTCCATTCTATTCTATGGACAGTTTTCATCTCGTGGTTACCGAAGCAATCGACTTGGTCACAGTGAGGAAGATATCGGCTTCTTATTTCAATCAAAGACAATCTCAAGCTAACCTTTCAAATCGAACCTGCGAAATTAGATTAAGGGAAAAAATATCCTAAGCCTGAAGTACACCAAAATCCAAATTGTTATTTTGTCAATTCGCATACACCTAGCCTTGAGCCAATGTTAGCCTATAAAATTAAATCGAAATGAAAAAATAAATGAAATTGGATATACCAAAAATACCGATTAAATTTCTTTGCAACTATTCCGCTAAACATATAAAATGACGTGTCTTACCTGGATTGAAGCGCACCTCCCGCCCTCCCTCAATTGCATACACTAACTCCGTCACCACTAGACCAAGCACCACTACTCTCAACACCACTATTCCAGGCAAGACACACCATCGACGATAATACGACACGTGTTTCGCCTCTACACGAGGCATCCTCAGGTAATATAGACTACGGCGGCTGACCGCTAAGTGAAATTGGATATACCAAAAATACCGATTAATTCTTTTACTGATTCGTATATAAATTAACGTGCTATATCCACGATGCAGCTTTATTATAGTTGTAGCACGAACGGGTCGGCTCGACCGATGTAGGACCACAGTCTCATAGAATACCAGCGTAAAATAACAGCTTGAGCAGCGTGTTTCGTATGGTAAGTGTAGAAAAATGGAGACATTTTTTACTGGAAACGAGGCATTCTATCTCAGTCCTCAGGGGTGACAGCGCATCTGCATGTGGATTCTTAATCGAGGATAAATGTAAATGTAAATGACTATGGGCCACAGCATCCACTTACCATCAGGTGGACTGTGCGCTCGTTTCTCGCTCTAATATTACAAAGAAAAAACCATTATTAGTTTAATAGTTTTTTATAGGATAAGGGAGACAAACGAGGCCACAGTATCCATTTACTATCAAGTGGAATGTATGCTCGATGGTCAACCTTATTCTATATATTATATAGCATTTTTACATCTTTATAAACTGGAAAGTTGAAGATAAAGATGAGGGAGTAACAAGGACAAGAGGAAATAACATCATAATACAATAATATTCTTTAATAGATCACTATATTTTGCTATATTATTTTTGACTGGATAAAGCGCTAAAAATATTGTATTTATTCGTCATAATGATTTATATTTAGCAGAACTTTTGTTTGTTATTTGTAAGTCCTGTGTTCCTTGAAATATTATTCCCTTTTCATTAAGTTCATTAACAAACAATTCATTTTTCATTACCTTGAACTATCAAACTCTATTATAACCAGGCAACACTAAATGAAACAAGAATAGAGGAAGAATAATAGCACTCAGGAATATTTAAAACAATAAACTAATACTAATATTAATTTTACATTCACTTTTAATATTTAAATGTCCAACATATACAATATTTATTACCATAATAAAAGAAACTAAGCTAAACCGTAATAAAAAAATAAAAGAAACTAAACTAAAAGTCCTACTCCCCGCGGTATATTGTCAAAAACGCTGGTTGCGTTTCCTCGCTGAATACTCGCAGAAACTTAACCTTGAGCGAGAAATGAACCAGCCCTTTTATCACCAGTAGCAACGATCAGTCGCGGATACAGTTCCTTAAGGAATTTTACCGCATGTGGACCCTACGGACCGATAGCTTCTACAGCTATAGCTTCATAGCTTTTAACTTTCTCTATAGCTTTTAACTATATCAAAACTAATTTCAGTGAGAAGAAGACAGTCAGAGGAATGGCCGACAGCCACTGTTCTCGCGACCAGTCGTAAGTCTCACAATACTAACGGTGGCGGTGATGCTTCTTATTCTAGTCATTCAGTGCATTATTTACTTCGTTCAGAACGCCATGTACTCATTCTCATATTCTTGATTTTCGTGATAAAAAATAGCATTTGTCGGTTCCAAAAATAATTCCATTAAAGGCTAATCTCTTGTCACTGAAAACAAAATACTAATCGATGGCATATTTTATTTAGGTAGATTTGTGTTATCCTTAGAAATGCAGCATTTGTTCTTCATAAAAATAAAATTATGCATCCCTTAGCAAAAATTCTTTCAGGTATGTACAAATATATAATAGTAGACAAGAAATAGTTCCTTTTGGTAATCAGTTTTTTTTTATTAAAAAAGGTAAATTTATGTAATAAGCGTTGTTTTATGATATAGTTTCAGGCTAAAGATAATTGAAAACTTGCCAAACTTGAAAAAATTTAGTATCCTTCAAGATAAGCAGTTGATGACTGCAGTAATCTTTTAAAAAAATTACTTTAATTGTTTAATATTACAAAATTTTAAGGAAAATACAGTGATCTGCAAACACCTAGTAATTTGAATTACGTTATTATAATTATATATGTATGATTATAAATAGATATAGAATATTACTTCTCTTTTGTAAAACGTCAGAAAAAACGTCGTCATTGTCTTCTAGAAACCATCTAAAGTTAAACAAAGTACAGATCTACACTTTTCCATTACTTCTACCTTGTTTTAATTCATTTTAACTTGCTTGCAGTATTATATTACTGTTTGCTACATCATTCTCATCAAGCTTTCAAATGTCAAGGAGCATTTCAAATTGTATTAAAGGAAAGGCGATGGTGTTTTAAACATCCAATTATTAAGCTACTAATTGTATCTCTCTATAAGATTATAAAGTGTTAACTTCTGTTTTCTCCAGATCAATTCCCGATTATTGATGGAGACAGTGAATCGTTTCCAAGGCTGAGCGATTTCGACGCATCACCATCTGAGACGAGTGGGGACTTGCGCAATTGTGACCTACCGCCGCCTTATTCGGAATGCACTGAACCTGCCACGGGAAATAAACAAACCATAACGGAAGAACCGCCTCCTCCATACTCTGCTTGCTACGTAGCCTTCTCCAACCCAAAAGATGGAGTCCCTTCCGTCCATATCTACAACGAACAAGGACAGAGTCTCCCGAGCGACTCACACAACAGCAGCAGTCTAAATGAACATGCAGGAGTTTCAGAAAGAAGTATTGAACTAGTCGATAATAAACCAAATAATGGTTGTGAAAGAAATTCAACAGATAATACTGAAACAAATGAAAGTGACACTAACGTTTTAAATCATGCTATTGCTTCAACTAGCAACGCAAATGATAGAGTTGAAAGTGGTAGTTATATTATTGATATTGATATTATTAACGCATTGCCAGGAGAGGTTTGTTAGGAAGACTAGGTATAAATGCCTGGATTTGAAGATTAAGTAGCAACGAAAAGAAAAGTTCACCAAAGATATTACTGACTTAAGCCAAATTGAATTGCGGTTAACCACAATTCAGACAACTGTTGACGAATTATTTTGCACCTTATAGTTATACTAAATACATATACAGTGTCTCACGTATCGGATCAATCAGAAAATGAATGTTTGACTGACTGATCAGCGAAATTTAAATTTATGCATTTCGTACGAGTGACGGGAATCAAGAAACGGATACAATTAATTGTAGGGCATTTAAGTCCCTTCAGGTGATGACATGCAAAAACCACCAGATGTGTTTGAGTCCTTACTTTGGTAACCTAAGTCAATAGACGAAGTGATCACTAGTGTAGTGGTTCTTAACTTTTTTGGCTGGTGATCCCCAATACAGCGATACTTCAATCTTGTGACTCTATACAAATTAAGAAATATGTACTATTGTCAAGTCTCTAAAATGCGGGACGCTCATGTTTAGTAATTAACTTTTAACACAACACGGGTTGGTGATGATCATGATGATGAAGACAAAGTATCAAGTGTCAAATGTCACTAGTAATAAGAATGACTAGTGTATTACTAGTGAGGTGAGGTTTATTTTAAATAGAATAAGTAAGGTTTTACAAACGTTAATTAATGCGATATTCCAATGAAATTTTGATAGATTCATTTAAAACTAGTAACTTTTCAATTCATTTGGAATCCCCAGTGACCTCTTTGAATTGGTCGCAAGTAGAGATTAAGAACTGCTGGTATAATGGACTGTCATTTATCTGCTCAATATCACAAAATAGTTATCCTAGTATAGCAATTTTAACCCTCATTTAAGAAAAAGGTACCAATCAGCACAAAAAATGTAGGGGCACGTTTCCAATCAATGTAGTGAACCAAACCTGAATTAGTTCTCCAAGTAAGTCCAAGTTATATTTATTTTTAGATAAACTAGATAAAGCATTTTGTAAGTTTTTAGAAATCAGTCGATCCTCATAAAAGCACGTTCTGACATATGTATTGAAATCAATAAAATATTACTTAATTAATTTATTGTCTTTTATTTATTTGCTTGACCGTATATACCTATACACCGTGACTTAATGAGGCGATTTGATTTTCGCCATTTTGGTGCTGATAGCAGAAGTGAGCGTCCACGGATCTAATAATAGAGATAGGACAGTGTGATAAAACATTTAACGATAAAAACTCTATACCCAAGCCTTCAGTTATATTTATGTATCATTTTAACTCGGCTGGGCAGCGTTCGAGAAATTACGATACATCTCGTCAGCTACACCTCAAAACCTGAAAACGAGACTGTACAACGTTGTCAGTGATGACCTATGGAACTGAGACGTGGTCACTCCATCCAGGTTGTCACTCCATCTAGTGGGGGGTCACCCTACACTTCGCCTACCGATACGAGGCTGCCACTCGAGAACCTTTTTTCACCATCAGTTGTCGATTCTTCGAGCTATATGAACGGCCCATTGCTACTTCAGCTTACTAATCAGTTGGGCTATGGCGGTCACTCTGGTTTTACTGCGGATACCCTCATTTCTGAGTCTATCACGCAGTGAAACTCCAAGCATAGCCCTCTCCATAGCTCGCTGAGCGACCTTGAGCGTCCTCATATGGCCAGCAGTGAAGGACCATGTTTCAGATCCGTAAGTCACCACTGGCAACACGCACTGGTTATACACTTTAGTTTTCAGAGATTGAGGTATACCTGATGAGAAGATGTGTCGTAATTTCCCAAACGCTGCCCAGCCGAGTTGAATCCGTCGATTGATCTCTCGGTCGAAGTTGGACTTACCTAGTCGGACTATTTGTCCCAGGTAAACATACTCGTCAACAACTTCGAGCATAGTGCTCCCAACAACTACCGGTATAGGTGTGACATGGACATTAAACATGATCTTTGTTTTGTCCATGTTCATCTTAAGACCTATCCGTTGGGAGACACCATTGAGGTCATTGAGCATAGTGCTAAGGTCCTCCAGCGATTCTGCCATTAAGACTACATCGTCGGCAAATCGAAGGTGAGTGATGTACTCGCCATTGATGTTAATACTGTATCATTTCCAGTCCAGTAGCTTGAAAACGTCTTCCAACGCAGCGGTGAAGAGTTTCGGGGGATATAACATCACCCTGTCTTACACCTCTCTGCAGTTGGATAGGTTTCGTACTCTGGTTCTGTACTCGGATAGCCATCGTATCCCTACTGTACAAACACTTCAGCACTTCAATATACCAACAATTAACTAGGCACCGCTGAAGAGACTGTAGCACCGCCCACATTTCGACGGAATCAAAGGCTTTCTCATAGTCCACATACGCCAGGCAAAGTGGCAGATTGTACTCTTCGGACTTCTGTACAATTTGCCAAAGGGTATGTATGTGGTCTAAAGTACTGAAGCCTTTTCGGAAACCGGCTTTTTTTTTTATAGAAGAGGGGGGCAAACGAGCATGTGGCTCACCTGATGTTAAGTGACTACCGCCGCCCATGATCAACCGCAACACCAGGGGAATTGCAGGTGCGTTGTCGGCGCTTTAGAAAGGAGTAAGCTCTTTTCTTGAAGGTCCCCAGGTCGTCCGGAATCGGTCCGGAAAAATCACCGGTGGTAAATTATTCCACACAGAGGTTGTACGCGGAAGAAAACTCCTTTTGAAACGTACAGTGGTGGACCGCCAAGCATCCAGATGGTGTGGATGGTATCGGGACGTTTGCCGTGTAGTGCGTTCACGAAATTTGGCGGCTGGGATTAATCCGAACAATTCCTCAGAGCACTCCCCGTGATAGATGCGATAAAATACGCAAAGAGATGCAACATCTCTTCGCAGCGCCAGTGAATCGAGCCGATCGGAAAGCACTCGGTCGTCGACGATTCGAGCCGCTCTGCGCTGGATGCGGTCAAATGGAAGGAGCTGGTACTGGGGAGCCCCAGCCCAGAGATGGGAACAGTATTCCATGAGCGGCCGAACCTGCGCCTTGTAAAGTTGCAGGTGGTGTGCCGGCATGAAATACTGTCCCGCTCTGCTGAGCACGCCAAGCTTTTTAGAGGCCAATTTGGCCTTCCCTTCCAAGTGACCACGAAACTGCACGTCACTCGATATGTCGACGCCGAGGATTCCGATACTGGCTGAGGCAACAAGGGGGAGTGCCTTGAAACTGAGGGGATACGACAAAGGGGTTCTTTTTAGCGGTTAACGCGCAAACTTGTGTCTTCTGGGGGTTAAACTGGACTAGATTTAGTCGCCCCCAATCCGAGACTCTGTCCAGCAGAGACTCGACTTCAGACACAAGTTTGTCCCGGCACTCAGAGACGTTTTCCCGAGAAATATTGGCTCGGCCGGTGTAAAGAGCATCACCAGTGCTGTCATCTGCATAGCAATGAATGCTACGGGTTTGCAACATATCACTGATATGCAGAAGTAACAGCGTTGGCGATAGCACGCAGCCCTGTGGAATACCAGCATTAATAAGCTTGCAATCGGAGCTTGCACCGTCTACAACGACCTTGATGCTCCGATCCGCAAGAAAACTGGTGATCCAATCGCACAATTTCTCGGGAAGCCCATAGGAAGGGAGCTTCGAAAGAAGCGCTTTGTGCCAAACCCGATCGAAGGCCTTCGCAATGTCCAAACTAACGGCCAATGCCTCCCCCTTGGACTCTACTGCCTCCGCCCATCTGTGAGGTAGACCAGAAGATCACCAGCTGACCTACCACGGCGAAAACCGTATTGGCGGTCACTAATCAGCTGGTGATCCTCAAGGTACCTCATGAGCTGGCAGTTTACAATGGACTCCATTGTTTTGGAGAACAAGGAGGTGATGGCGATAGGCCGGTAGTTGGACGGGTCTGAGCGGTCGCCTTTTTTAGGGATCGGGTGGACGAAAGCCGTCTTCCATGATTTTGGGACTACGCCTAGGGAGTAGGAGTACCGGAAAAGACGCGTTAAAACCGGTGCCAACTCTGGAGCACACGTCCTCAGCACAATTGGGGCTTGTTCGGGAGGCTGGAAGTCGTCGAGTCTGCGTGCGAGACGATTCGTAATGACTCTCGAAAACAGCACGTAGACGCGGCTCAGAAGGGAAATCGGTCTGTAGTTCTTCAAGAGAGCGTTGTCGCCTTTCTTAAAGAACAAGACCACCGCGCTTCTGCTCCACGCCTCTGGAGTAGTGCCACCATGGAGGACGGAATTGAAGAGCTTCTGAAGGACTTCAAGTACCGGTGTTCCACCCACTTTCAGAAGCTCCGCTGTAATTCCATCCTCGCCCGGGGTCTTGCCGTTTTTAAGGTGGTGGAGAGCCATTCTAATCTCGCTCAGACTGACGTCCGGGATATCATCGGAATAGTGTCGGATAAGACTTGCTCTTGGATCGTTACTCACACTTGCGTGTGGCTCCAACGATGATGTGTACAGCTGCCCATAGAACCTCTCAATCACACTCAGAATCTCAGGTGTCCCGGAAACGATGTTGCCACACTCAGTCTTCAGCCTTGACAGTTGGCTCTTTCTGGCAGACAGATCCCTAGCAAAGACTTTGGAGCCCTGGTTCCGCTCGATCGCTTCTTTAATACGAGCAGTATTAAAGTTGCGTAAGTCTCGCCACATGCATTTGGAGATCTGTCTGTTCAGTTGCCTGTATGCTGTCAAATCTGTTGACGATTGCAGCCTCATCTCCCGTCTAACAGCCATGAGATTAAGAGTGTGATCGGAGAGTTTTTGTGTTCTTCTGCGGCGGGTCTTGCAGAACTTAGCTCCGACCGCATGGACAGTTTCCACGAGCTTGTCATTCATATCGTCCACTGCATATTATTCGTAAAATGTTATCCACTTATACAACATTTTAACAATTTGCATATACTACATAACATTTTACGAATATATTTCTATATATACACTTCTATATAGATACTTCCCGAGAAAGAATCATATGATAAAAAGTGCCCAAGGTGCCTATAGAAGTT